CACGACCAGCGCTTCGCTCTCTCATGTCGTCTATTATTTGTCTCAAAACAAAGACAAACAACAGATTCTGAGGGAAGAACTCAACGCTTTGGACACAGACTTCACGTATGAAAACCTAAATCAATGCAAATATTTAAATGCAGTCATCGATGAGACCCTACGACTGGCCCCACCTTTGATTAGTATTCAACGGGAATGTAAACAGGACTACAAACTGGGAAATACCGGTACCAGAAAAATCTACCATGCTAATCAAATATTAATTAATACATATACACAACCTAAATAGGTATAACAATACCGGCGGGAACTAACATCGAGATACAGCCATTTGTCATACATAGAGACCCGGAGTATTTTGTAGACCCTAATGAATTTAGGCCCGAAAGATTCATCGACGTAAAGCACCCGCCGTTTGCGTTCGTGCCCTTCGGGTGCGGCCCTCGACAGTGCGTTGGTATGAGGTTTGCCTTAAATGAGATGCGTTTATGTATTGCTAAGACTATACACAAGTATGAGTTTAGTCTCGCCTCTGGATTTCAGGTATATTTAGTAATTGTATTTAAAATAATACTTTATTAATTTTGTTAATTAATTAATTAACAGTTATTAATAATTACCTATTATTTTTTTGTCTCAACTAATAGATTGATTATTTCACGGGTAATATTTTTCATTCGCCAAAACAAGTTTTAGTTCATATTAAACGTTGCTAAATATATTTAAAATAATAAACATAAATTACTTAATTATAAAATAAATTAATTTACTCTTTTAAAAATTTATAAATTTTTATATAATATAACAAGTATAATACACAAAAATTATCATATTGTAACATAAAACTAAAAGTAAAATAAAATTTAAGTTTTTATAAAGAATAAGGCTATCAACTAATAGGTTACTGGGCTATGCTGGCCTGGTCACCATTTAACATGGATATGATAACACATGTTAAGAGGTATTTGGGAGTGGTGTAAATTCCGTCGCAGGACTTCGGGTTCGGGAGTAGTGACCACTTTTATCGGAAACATATTTTGTCATTTTTGTTATGTTTTTGATGTATTAATATGTCATGTGGCATATCAATCGAACGGATTCGATGACCAAAACATATTTCCGAAGGAATCAATTAATTCGGATATCAAATAAAAAAATTATACGTACTTTGACATGTCCTCTACCAGGCAGCATACCCGCCCCCCCCTCCGACCCCCCTTTTAGGGCCCATTTCAAAAACAAAGAACTATAGTTTAGGCTGGGATAACCCACTTATTCATTCAAGATGCACTTAAAGTAAACATGATCATATACTGTGAAAATATTAAAAATTTACATAAAATAATAATCAATTACAGAAAAAATAATTTAAATAAATTGTATTTTTAAGGCTAATAAACTGGTGTAAAATATAGTAAAACCATGATGATGCAAATAATTGTGCTATACTTTTTAATTATTAAAATGCGTAGGTAGTAAGTGTACCACAAATGTAATTCACATTTAAACATAATGCAATTTACAAATAAAAATAGTATATATTTTTAACGGACGTAAATTGATGGACATATCGCTAAATTATTTTGCAATTAAATAGTAAATATATTTGTTAATAAAAATTAAAAATATAACTTTGAATTGGAAATATTTAATAATTGCTATTTTATTTATCGGAAATAAATACATAGGAAATGTATAAACTTTATATGTGTTAACAATGAACTACTAGATAGCTTATATGCGCACATTTATTATTTATTGAGCAATAAATTCAAATCAAATTAAAACAAATAGTTTAGCTTAATTGTCAACATTTTCAGATACACATAGATAATATTTTAAAATTACATGATAAATTATCATTAATAATACAACATTATTAATGTGCTTGTTACAAATTGCATTTGTTTAATTAACCAATGGATAAAGTTTGCGGAGAAAGGGATTCATAGTGTTATACCAGACCTCATACCCGAACTCATTGGGATGAACGCCATCGGGAAGGAAGAGATCTGGTATTTGTTTACCCGTTTCGTCCACAAAGGCTGACCACATGTCCAGAAAAAATACATTTTTATTATTGGCCAACTTTGCCAACAATGCGTTAAGCTCTTTGCTTTGGTCTGGCCATGGTGATGGCAAATCACCCAACAAAAGGATCTTGGTGGCTGGCATTTTGGTCAACAACTCTGTCATAATCTCAACGATTCCGTGCGTTATGTCTACAGCCGTATCGTTATTGTGCCAAATATTATTAGCGCCTAATAAATAACGCGTTGGTTAAAAATTACACTCAAAGTTATAATGAATGTAAAAATAATTGCAAAAATACTTGATATAATAATTATATTAAAATATTATACTATACAATATATTTATGCTAATAGATTATGTTGTATATGAAAAAACAAACCGATCATAAGTACAGTGACATTGGCCTCGAGTCCGTCAAACTCGTGATTCCGGATCCGATAGATTACGTTAGAAGTGGTGTCACCGGAGATGCCGTAGTTATAGACGTGATGTGCGGCGCCGTAGTGTAGGTTCCATACATTTTGCCCAAACAGTAGCCAATTATTGGTTATTGA